CTGATTGTTGTCTGTTGTTCTTGTTCTTGTCCAGGAATCTTCATTACCTCTGTTTCGTCTATGTCCACCTGAAGTCCTATCTTTCATGCTTCTTCTGCCAACTTGTTGCTTTTCGCTTGCATATCTTCCAGTTTGTGGGAAATCAGACATATATCATCGGCGAAGTCCAGATCCTCCAAGTTTTTTGTGTGTGTCCACTTTATGCCTGTTTCATCATTGCCTGCTGTTTGTCACATTATCCAATCTACTGCAATCAGGAAAATCATTGGCGATAGTAGGCAGCATTGTCTTACTCCTGTCCTCACTTCAAAGGATTCCGTAAGTTTCCCGTTGTGGATTACTTGGCATGCAGCATTGTCGTACAGCTGTTGAATGAGATGTATAATTGTCGGCGGCACCCTGTAGTAGCGAAGTAGTTTCCAAATCACCTCTCCATCGACGCTGTCGAAGGCCTTTCCAAAGTCGATGGGGTTGAGATAGAGAGGTGACTGCCACTCCAAGCTTTGTTCAATGATGATCCGTAATGTGGCGATCTGATCAATGCCTGACTTGTTTCTCCTGAATCCAGCTTGTTTCGGTCGAAGTTTTTCATCCAGGGCTTGTTTGATTCTCTCCAGGATGATGCGGCTTAGTATTTTGCTTGGGATGGACAGGAGTATAATTCCGCACCAGTTCTTGCATTGACTTAAGATAGATAGATAAGATTTTATTTTGATAAGTCACACAGTGTTACACAGTAATATTAACTGATGACGTTTCGAGCACAAACTGTTGCTCATAATCAATCAATCAATATCAATCACAAATACCCCTACTTATGAATTATAAAAACATTCAGCTCTAATATTATGCCCCATTAGAAATCGTTCAAATTCTAGACTAACTAATTCATATGAGATGAAAAATAAACTAAATGACATTCAACTAGAAAATGATGAAACAATGGTTAGTTTCGATATAACTAGTCTTTATACTTATATACCAATCACTATGGCCTTAGAATCAGTTAAAAGAGAGCTAACTGCAGATCCTGAACTCACTCATAGGACGAAGCTGCCCATTGAGGAAATTATTTTAGGAGTTCAGTCATGCCTCACATATACTGTCTTTAAATTCCAAGGCAAAAAATACAAAAACAAACAGAAGGTGTAGCAATCGGATGTATTACCAGTATCCCCTATCGTAGCAGATATCTTTATGGACAGTTGCGAAAATATTGCTTTTAATACATTTAATCTTACTCCAAAAATATGGTGGAGATATGTGGATGACACGTTCACACACAGTGTTAAAAACAGAACATATCTCTAGCTTCTTGACACACATAAATAAACTCACTAGTGGAGGGAATAAAATTCACATTTGAAGCCGAAAATGAGCAAGGAGAATTAGCTATGTTAGATTGTAAAATAAAACGAATAGAAAAAGGCAAACTACACACTAGTGTTTATAGAAAACCAACGCATTCTAATAGATATTTAGACTTTAATTCATCTCATCCTTCAACTGTTAAGACAGGCTTAGTTAAGTGTTTAACAAACCGAGCAATGGCACTAAGTAGCACAAAAAAAAGAACTAAATGATGAAATAAAACAGATAGAAGAGGCGTTGGTTCTAAATAACTATCCTCTAAAATTCATTAGGAAGATTGAAAAACGCCAAAAGGAAAATAAAAAGAATTGTGAAACTGGTAATAATAACATAAATAAGAGAGAATATAAGTCATCTACAGTTATACCATATAAAGAGGCGACATCTGAGACCCTACGTAGGATTCTAAACAAAGCAGGAATTAGGGTGGCATTCAAACCTACAAACTCACTCAGGGACAAGCTCTGTAGGTTAAAGGACCCAGTGGACCCAATTAGACAAAATAATATAATTTACAAAATACCCTGCAATGACTGTGAGGTCAACTACATAGGTCAAACTAGTAGATCAGGGGTAGTCAGACTGTCAGAACATAAGAATTTAGCTAAGGTAAGAATGGTTGACCCAGAGAAGATAAGTAATTTAGAAAAAAGCTCGGCAATTGCAATGCATGCATTAACACAAAACCACACAATAGGCTGGTGGGAGAGGGTTAAGATTCTTAGAAGTAATCTATGTACGTGGAGAGAGAGAGACTGATTACTGAATCCTGCCTGGTTCATTGAGTCTACACCCAACACAACACATGCAACAGAAATGACTCAATGCAAATACCAGAAATATGGAAGACATTATTACCACCAGTCAGTCAAATCAGAGGAGGATGATAAATAATCTTAAAATTCTATTTTAATTCAAGCACATCACAACATTCTCATAACTTACTTATGCTGACTATAAAAACACTCGTCGTATTTCCCATCTGATTGTATTTGATCAATAACACTCGTATTATTATTTCTGAATGTACATTATCCTATATTGAATTTTTATTCAAATATCTAGTCAATTCCACACATATATATAAATGAAGGAAAAAGTTGTGTGAGTAGTGACTTGATATGATGATGAGCAATAGTTTGTGCTCGAAACGTCATCAGTTAATATCACTGTGTAACACTGTGTGGCTTATCAAAATAAAATCTTATCTAAAATGGATTTATACTGTACCACAGCGCCCAAGTTTTATACTTATATTTTAAAGCGTTCTGACTGATTTCAAATTATACCACGAAATGACATGATTCAGAAAGCGAATAAAAACCAGGGTGTTTTATCCTAGTTTGAAACTTTCGAGCAGTACATAGCCAAGAACTTTTGCCTTATAGAACTCGGGAGCTTTAGGTTACAAAGCTAACCCGTTGAATACTAACCAGTTACATGGAACCAATGGCTCATAAATTCTAACTTTGACCAATTTCTCGACAGATAGTGCCACTACCAATCATTATTATCGGCAAGTATTTGTCCACACATTCGACTTGTTTCAGCCTTCTACTCCTGACTTCTTATGGGAACTCCAAATAGACACTACTGAGCAGTGGACTGATTCTCAAGTGTTCCTTATCAAGGATTTGATATATGTTGATATAGTTGTGTTCTCTGAGCTGGATGGTTTACTTGCGAACCTTTCATTGCATTCCCAGGCAACATCTTGAGCGTATACTTCAATTTGAGCTACAAATCTCCATTATTTGATAAATACATATATATGAAATTCTCAGAGCAATCAAAACTTCATTCACATTTATTAGTATAGCATTAATCAGATGTTTGAATAATACTGAGCAGTATGTGAATAGTTTTCAGTTCCTTTTAATGGATTTTAACTTAGCTAATGCTTCTTTCTGCTTGGGAGTATCGTTGGCATCAATGATGATAATATCCAAAAGATGTATCACATTCATTGTGTTTCTTATATTTTCTTTTATTCTTTATTTCAAGTGTTAGTCATGGACTGACTTTAGTTACAGAACCATAGGAAACTACCAGCGTGTGTTGCTGTAGATTCCCGAGTTAGAATGAAACAGCTATCCAGTACGTTGTGCAGGTTCCAGCCGCTCTCTAAGCGATGGCACTTCATGATCAAATGATATTTGAAAATTCACTAGTTTAGTCATATTTTTAACTTTAATTAAATATATTGTACACACCTACTTCAGTTCGTAAGAAATAACTTCCTTGGTTGGAGGGTTTAGTCATGAGCTGACATCACTTAGAGAATCACTGGAAAATTGGAAGCACTGGACATCTGTTTTGTCAACCCAGGTTGGGATTCTTCGTCAGTACTTACGTCAGCCAGCGTTTGAACCAAGGACCTTCCGGTTACGAGGCGAGCTCGTAGACCATTAGGCCACTGGGACCAGATCCAATGATCAGCCTATGAATCTCAAATTCTGCTAAACACAATCCCAACAAAACCAATAATTGAAAATTAATCTGATGCTCACTAGCGACTGGCTGTATTCGGGCACTTAACATGGGGTTCTAGTGGGAAGCCGTGACCTGCAGAGTACGGCAGTAACTCATCGCAAAAGACATTGCGAAATGGTCGCGCTAAGTCATGAATTGGCAGAATTCATGGGCTGGCCATTGGATCGGATCCCAGTGGCTTAATGGTCTACCAGCTTGCTTTGTAATCCTGGGTTCGAAACCTGCCTGTGGGGTGGGTGCGTACTGACGAAGAGTCCCGAACTGGGCTGTCAAAACAGTTGTCCAGTACTCCCGATTTTCCACTGATTCTCCAAATGATATCAGCTCATGATGAAACCCTCCAAAGAATCAAACACAATCCCTACAAAACCAATACTTGAAAAATAATTTTCTATTGAAAATGTTGATTATGAGGGTAGGTACAAATTGTAGATCAATATGGTTGCGTAACAGTGTTTTGATTACTAAGTTTCTTATACTGCGCAATCATATTTAAGGGTATATGAATACATTTTGATATAGTTTTGCATCAGGTACAAAAATCACTTTGAGTTCGGGTCTTCGAGGGGTCATCAGTTCCTTAGAAGTTGATGATTCACTTTACCAACAACTACCAGTAAGGACAAAACCTAAGTCTAAGACTTTATACCTACAATCTTTAATCACTGAACATTAATTCAATGTTTATCACCGTAGCAACTGTCCCGAAATTGATGACCAGACTGCAAAGTTTACTATTAGTATTCAGTTACTATTCAGGACTAGAAATACGAAAATGCTCTTGATTTTTTAGTGATACGCCAACTGATATTGATTTATAATGGGATCTACCATGGAAATAATCATAATTATTTACTGATTTGTGCGTCAGTAATCCCACGCTAAAGTATTCGCCAACCACCCAGGTGGTTCAGATTAGACTTCCAAGAGATGCAACTGGTAGTAGAAAGCCAGTCTAAAGAGGAAACGGGCCTGAGGATAGCAACTCCACCCTGTATAATAAAGCAACACTGCCGCTACTGAAACTTCAGCGAACTTGAAGCCTTACGTTCCACTCAGAATGCAAAGGAATAAAAACTAAATGAATACAAATCTAACGGTTAATATAAAAAGCTTCAAGAAATAAATTCACTTACCAAAAGGACCTAAGCGATAATTAAATGTCACTACAACCACTCCTTTAGACGCCAATGCTAAGCCAGGATACATATGACTAGAGCCATAAACATAACTTCCACCGTGTATATGTACAATGACAGGATATCGTGTATTCGGATCCGCCCACGTACGCTGTTGTATTAAAAAAATAAAGAGAGAAAGAAAAGGAATAAAACGATTTGCCATTTGTAGATTATGAAGATCGAGGTGAGATTTCACCATAATTTACCCTGAAAAATTAGAAGAAACATTCGAATTACAATAGGCAATCCACTTAAGAATACAAGTGACATCAAGAAACTGAGAGAAAGGACAGGGTAGTATATGCTGCTGGTGGAAATTCTAAAGAAAAGCAAGTAGTTAGTGCTGTTAGCTTCTTGTCAATTATTTTATTAAAGCAGCTAGGTTTAACCATTGTTTTTAATATTATTCCTCTGGATTCCGAGTTGATAATAGGAGTTTAAAATTAAATTTCCGTTTCTTCCTATTCCGTGCAGTCTTATATAGCTGACTGAACAATATCGTCTACACACGGTCTCCTCCACGTCACTCATGAATCCCCAGCTTGTCGTTTCCCAGTCACGTTCCGTTCAAGGACCTGGCGGGCGTGGTCGTACATTATTTCTGATTGGTCAGATATACTGTGATATAGGAATATATATCGATAATAACTGAGTGTCATTTACATTATGGATGCTTTAGGGATTTGAATTAGTATCACTGTATGTTTCGTCAATAACTAAAACCACGTGGAGTACAGTTGAAAACTAGGGGCCACTGAACATCCACACTCTCCTAAATTGAGGTTATTATGCAATGTGTATCTACAACCGTATCGAGGGTAGAAAACAAGATCAAGCCACTTGGGCTGAAAGTGAAAGACACATTGAATCTAACTTCTTTCATTTCGTTATATGGCCCCAACCAATTTCTCAAACGAGCATCTGATGTTCTCATCATATTACATATGTAGTATGTAATCGCAAAAATTCATTATGCTTACAATAATAATAAAGCAGATCAAAACAATCACTATTTACCACCATTTTTCATCACTTAAATGTAACTGAAAACATAATCTTTATGTCACACTATGAATATGGTCCCGAAATATGTTTCTTATTTCGGAAGTTATGTTTGCTGTTTTGATTTGCCCTTGGTCCAAGCAGAACAAATACTATAGGAGTTGAGGGATAAAAATTTAAGTTGGTAGACATTGTACATCGCGTAAACGTCAACATTCTTTCATCTCCTCAAAGCTCTTTCCGTTGGATGCATATCTATCCATTACTGTGGTTCGCGTTTTAATTAATTGGGAATGAAAATAATATAACACAGGTGTCTACTAGCCACATCAGCGAAAGCTCTGTAACATCTATTTTATAAAACTAACAAAAAAATGACCACGTCTTACCCAAAATAGTAAACACTTAAGATATGGAAAGACTACCAGACAAATATAGTATATTTTAAACTTTCTTAAAATAGTAATCCTAAATCAACAGCAGTTCCAACTAAACCAACAGACCGGAAAACAACGGCATGTAGTGAGAAGAAAATATTAGAAACTTCTCTCCTAACTAAATAGCTACTTAGCCGTATGGAATACAAAAATAAATTTCGATCCTCGTAGATACGTAGGAAATATAATTATTCCAGATTACACATAGTAAATTTTGCGTCAGTATCTTGGCTTATAATTAACTGAGGTGTCCTCTCATAATCTCATTCTATTGGTTTGTGATCAATTCAAAAATTCCAAAAAACACAGGGGTATTTACAATTCGAATATTAGGGCAGCACTTACATTTGGATAATAAATATTGAGATAAAGACAGTCTTCATTTATATCTTTGAATCCTGGCATAAAGCGGTTTATCCAAATGGGAGGTTGCATGCATGCTGATCTAAAGCGTTTGGCGAACCACGGAAACCGGGTATCTAAGTAGGCGGGGACTGGCATCTGTCATCGAATGTCACGTACAGTATTATTGACAAACCCGAAACCTTTGCCCTTCAACCGGAGGTGCTGCATACGGTATCCCCAAAAAAACATTCACTAACCGACCCTTTATTGGTGGCCAATGAGACCAAGTATAATCGTAATTTATAGTGGTTGAAAATCCTATAAATTTTCCCATACCAGCTCTAAAAACGTCAGTAATTCTGAATAAATAGCAACCAACTTGGGAATATCTACTATTACATCATTTGGCATAGGACCATATTGATTAACCTCAGGAATATGAGTAAATCTTTGATTTGGCAGAGGAGTGAAAACAGGTAGTTTAAAAGGATTAGGCTGAGAATTAAAATTCCACCAATTTTGAGCAGTATTGTGTGCTACTACCAGAAAAATATTTAGCAGTTTAAAGATCCTAAATATGTATGTTGAAGTTAGCATCGTTATCAAGTGACAATTTTCAAAAGTGAGTAAGTAAATGACCTAGCCAATATTTCAATGTTCAATCCGAAATCTTTGTGTATAACTATTCTTCGCTGGATGCTTGATTCTCTGTGGCTTGGAACGGTTTTGTACCTTTTTGTGATTCTGTTGCAGAAAACTTGTCTCCTGAACTGCTTAAAAAAGATAGAGGATGGATGTAAATGTATTTTGGGAGGAATGTACAATTTATACTAGGGTTTTGTTTCTTCTGGAACTTACCTAAGTCGTTTACCCAAACACTACAGGTAAGTAGAAAGCAAATTAAAAGGGAAGTTGGAAAAAACATTTGACAGGTGGAGAGAAAGACTGCAAATAAGGCTGATTAGATGAGAAGAAACAAATTCCTGAAACTATGATGGGAAGGCACAGTACAAAAAGAAGCAATAGTAAATTAAGTACCTTGTAAAGATCAAGCTACCGGAAGACCAGTCCATCTACCCAGAACTGGATTGCTTCCTTAATAGACGTGGGTAAGCCTTTGGTTTTCAGATAGTCGGCTGGTGTTTTCCCACCTCAGTGGTGGTAGCCAGCCGGCGAGGAATTCCACTTGGTAAATTCTATTTGGCAGAAGTTAGACCTGCCTTATAATATGAATTATGATGCGATGTAAAAATGACCGTAAGCACATTCTATACGACTGCGTGTACAGCATGGATTTAAGTGCATCTTGCTTGCTGTGCACGAATTAGTATTTTTTGGTGGCTTTGAAAGCACTTCCTGTGTCTTTGGAAAAAACGTTCAAATTTTCCAGAAGTAATATCCGAAGACCACTCCCTGTCTCTTATGGAGAAGGTCTATTCCTCATAAGTAGTACAGAATTCTTTGTGATACCGGTACACAGGTTAAAATCACCTTACATCGGTCTCTGTTGATTACCAAACGACTTTATGTGGCCCAATTCTTCAGATGGGTGATGTCTTCCTGATTTCTTCCTACCATCCTCAGGTGGAGAGTAAGTTTCCTGATAGATCACTTATAATAGCGATTTCAGAACCATTTCATGCAGTAACAAAGCAGGCGATAATCTTCATGTAGAATGTGCGCTATTTACCTTCACATAAAACTCCCTCCGCTGAAAGTATATTCCAGTGGAATATTACAAAGATCTGACAATCCCTACTTTGAAAAATTTCCAGGGAAGAATTTCCGGGAATAAAATAGAATGTTTTGGTTGTGATCTGAAGACGTGTTTGTCTTGGTGTGGTTTCGAGTATAATTAGGCTACCAGGAGAAAATCAACCCATGATACAGCTTCCCACGGTATGTCATTTCGATTCAGATAATTTCTAATGTGGTCGTTCACTGTGCTTGCCAACAACTTTGATACTGTTAAAATTGGGGCTGCAGACGAGAGATTTGTTAACTTGCTTGCGACAACTACTAGCTGTTGCCTGTTAGTGATTCCGGAACAGTCTACTGAATATAGCAGACAGGACCTCTGTGTGGTGTTTGAGAACCAGTGGTTTGGTGCTGTCACATCTGCGGAATTGCCCTGATTGTACTTTCCTAACTTCTACAGAACCATAATCCTATTTATCTGAAACGGAGTAATCTCCACGATTTTCATCTCCCTTTTGGTGAACTGTCTATTAAGTCAGTCCCATGAAGCTTCAGCTACCTTAAAAATGCTAAGGAGTTCGCCACTAACTTTCTAAAGACACACGTTCCCTCATTAGTTCCCAGATACGACATGATGAGGAGCTTTAGGTTTGTTTTGTATTCTTCAGCCTGACTGAGTCACAAATTTCAACTTATCTTCTCGTTGACACTTTGCTGGGTAGCAGCTACTATCACTCTTACGAAACACCCATCGTTTGTGAATGGTGTTGCCTAGGTAAGAACATCGACAATTGTCTCGCTTCCAAATGTATGTGGCCTTGCAATAGAAGAATCATTGAGAAGAGTTTTCCCCGACTAACTGTTCTTTAATGCTCAGGTTAAAGATCACTTTCCCACGACTTGTGATACCTGCACATCATCTGTCAGCAGGTGGCCACTCAATGGACACTATGACCAAGATAGTTCTCTGATGACTATCGCTTACAAACCACCCCTAAAGCTTCGAAGTAGTCTTCAATGTGCTCAGCAGGACTCTGTCGGGCATTTTCTGAAGGTGTATCGACGTTCATCGAAGTCACCAACCACAATCATCTGGATGAATCCCATTAGGTGAACAGGTAGCTTTCGTCACAAAATCAAGGCTGATTTCGCGTAATGTATGTCAGGGCTCGATTAACACTATCAACCTAGAACCTAACGTTGATTCAAGAAACATCTTAAATTTAGATTTGGTCAACTCCACGTTGCCTTATTCGGTTGAATCAAGCTACGTATGTTCACTACTACTTCAACTTCGATCTTTCCTTCAGGTGCCTTTTGTACGGTGTTGCTCCAATAATACACATTATTTTGTTTTCACCACTGAGTGATGACCAGGTCACCGTCGGAATAATGAAAAAGCTTACAGGATGTGGGCAAATATACTGGAAGTTCTCTGCCTGATTTCCAATAACCCTAACGTTAGTGCGCAAATATTTGATAGTTTTCCTCGCAACGTGTTCACTTTGTGTGGCATTACTGCAATTTGAAGAAATTCTAATGGCTATGGTCTTTCTTTAGAGCTAGTGAATGTGTTGGGAACTGCGGCCTACAGCTTTGCGGATGCGTAACTTTAACACTAATTTTTTTGGCATTTGCCCTCAGATTCATGAGGTTTTATTACATGCGCCTCCTTTAGTTTTATGCTATGCTTGATGTTTATGAAGCCAATTAATTGCGATACCTGAACTATTTCGCTCTCATTTTCGGTTGGTTTCAACCAGACACAACGCCAATGACTGTTGTGCAGTTATATACCCTGCTAGCCATGCGCTTTGGCCACTCTGCCTGCTCACTTTTTACCCCGCCCACGTAAACTGATAGCGAGACCGCTCTTAACACCATTTCGATGATACCTACGGCTTCTCAAGGAAGTATTTATTAACGACACAGTGAAGAGGACAGAGGGATACACAATGAAACATCAAGCCAGAGACTGCGCTCCGGTTCACTGAAAATCCGGCTGTTCACAACATGGTTCACCCAGAACAGTAAACAAACTGCTATCTGAAGGCGAAATGGCTGAGTTTCAATTGAACTGGAGAATTCATTCGATCTCCAAAGAAAGATTGTCGCCCGAGATTTCTGGTCATTCAGAATTCACCACAGTTTGTTGTCCTGTATCTACCATGACGACATGTGATGGTTATGGTATCCCCCAAATGCTACCTACCAGCACACCTGTCAGTAATAGTTGCTTGGAAATCCACTGCCACCTCGCCCACTTACCGGTTGCTATGTGAATGGAAGTGGGTTAGTCCGCCTCTCAAGCCCTGAGTCAGTCCTTTACCATGGCTCATGGCCATTTGGTTTCAGTCAGACGCCAGATGGTAGGATTATCACCAGTCTTTGTAACAGAAGGGGAACTTTTTCCATCTCCTCAAATGAGTTTGCAACCAATCTTAATTGTGATTGTTCCCTGTTATGTGATACATCCCTCCTAAAAAGCTGGCACGTTTGTGGTTGTGCCTCTACCTGGTCTGATTCTGCAAATAAAGACACCCCATACCTGTCACTGAAGTGGCTCATGTTAGCCAAAAGACTGTCATCACAAGGAATCACTTCAGACATTGTTTATGATTACCCCCGCTGGTTCGCCCATCATTTGTTTGATGGTGAAGATTGTCGTCAGTTGTTGTCAGGCTTCTTATCTAGTGACCCCCATAAGCGGTTTCATTTCAATTACTGGTGGTGCAGTAGCAAACGATTTATCGTCTGGATCACTGGGTACACTTTCGTTTTACTTCTTTTATTCATTAATTCATCCTGACGCTTTGAGCGAAATGCCATCATCACACCCAGCTGTGGTGTACCGATGTTATTCTTCTTCTTAAACACTTCTCAAGACGAATCAGAGATGACTCATAGGTGGGCATCTTAAGAAATACTGCTTAGGAAACAATCTGGTTCCTAGGCACATTTCTTTCTTCCCTGAATTTTGACTTACTTTCCATCGATTGCGTCGGTGGCACAGCGGTTAGGACGCTCGCCGACCATACACATGGTCCGGGGTTCGATCCCCGGCCGGCGCACTCCTTTACCTCACTAAGCCAGAAATAATGCTGGTGAAGAGGAAAGGTTGGGCATTAGGCTAGCAACCCCATCCCGTAAAATAAACACTGCTACAGAAACTTCAAGCCACTAGCTTGAAGCCCTATGTTCGAGTGGGGAACGTGAAGGAAAAATTAATTAAAATTATTCCATCGATTGAGACTTTATTCATTATGTCATACGAGTGAAATTGGTACTTTTGATTTAAACTCACCTTAAAATTATTTTTTATTCATATCTGCAAATGAATGGTTAGACTACCAAATTAGACTAACGAAATAAAGCGGAATCAGAGCTTTATTCGGCTTCACAACTTGGTGTCGGTCTGCATGTATACGAAGACCTCAAGACAGGAAACTTCATTTCGTATATATTATTCCGGTTACAGATAGATGACACTGTGAGTGCACCAAGAAGGATAACAATGCTTCTAGATAAGCAAAGTCCCAACTACGTCTGTTTTGCCTTCACTCGCACCAGTTACCTGTCATGAACCTCTAAAAAAAGACTTCGTTAATTCGTACCCGCCACTGTCACAGCCTGTCACAGTTAGTTCACAAGAAACATAGGATATTAGACGACGTGAGTGAGAGATATAGGCAGAGAAAATACTGCGTGTATAACCACAACTTAAGAAATGCTCAGGGACCCAACGGATCGTGGTCACTGGTAACAACGAAAACGGCTTACCAGTCCCAACAAAGTGAACGACCAGAAAAGCCTTATAGCCTTATGATAGGAAACACTCAAAATACTTAAATGTTGCATTAATGTTCATCACAGCTCTTTGCAAACCACGCACAACGGAACCGCACAAAAGCATACGTGATAGTACCTGCCCACAGTAATTCAAACATCCAGTTGACAGTCATTGTTCTGGTCAATGAAAGATGAGTGAAACAAAAGTGAGGTAAACTTAAGACGCCATAACACTTATCGTCATCGAGCTAT